CAGATGCCTCGAGTTAGTTCTGACTCTTAGAGACCCCTGTACACCAGAACAGAGCCCCTCCCAGCCCTCCGCCGTCACTGTTGTTGCCACATTAGGGGTAGCCATGGTGCCAGTCCAACTGGTGGAGGGCCTCCCCCCTCCTCCCTGCCCCCGTTGTACCAAGCATGAGGCTCCTCCTCCCAGGCCTGGTACTTCTGACCGCGTGGCCACAGGGTGTTCAAGAACGCAGACCTAGACCTGGGCGAGGAGGCATCACGAGCCAGGCTGGTGGGCAGGGTCTCGGGAGAAATCAGATGAGAGTGCTATGCTGGCCTGAGTCGACCACCAAGACGGCCAGGGCCGCTGTGGGGGTCCGCCAGCTCCCTGCTGTGCTACTCCTAGGGGCTTTGGCTCCCCAGATCCCGTGGGGTGCGCCAAAAGCAGCCGACCGTGCCTCCACAGACATTCCGGAGTTCCGCAGTCAGCTTCCTGACCCACAAGGAGAGAGCCCAGGACCAGCAACCTGGGAGCCGGCGCCCATGGGAGGGAGACTCACCCGAGGCTGGGGATCCAGGAGCCCGGGGAGGCAGGCTCGTAGCACCCACGTGGGGGACGTGGAGAAGCACTTCGGGATAGGAAAGGATGGTCTCCATGGTGAACTCCCAAACACCACGGCAACCTTGGGCCGCTCTCAGTGAAATGGGCTTATGACGTCCCATCACCACTGAAGAAGACACTGCATTCAGGACCCTGGCTCTTTGGGAGAGGGGTAAGCAGGGAGGGACCCCTCATGGCCGAGGGGTGGCGAAATGCTCTGGGAGTGGCGAGTGCTGACAGTTGCCTGGTTTTGTGGGTCTGCTAAACACCGTGGGATCGCACCCTTTGAAAGGGTGGATTGGCTTGCAGATTTGTTTGTTGTTTGGGTCTTCCTGGTCCTTTGAATACTCTCTGCAAGCCACACCATCATTCCCTTGCACAGCTGGCGGGACACCACTCTCTTCGCAGCCCCCGTCTGCCCAGCAGCAGGTCCCTATCTCCTGTCCCACCACACTCCTCCTTGTTCTGGGACCTTGGTCCTCCTCCAAGTGACCTTGAGAGTAAAGTTGAGGAGCCCGCCCTCAGACACGCAGGTCAGGGGCAGGCCCCAACTCTCCCTGGAAGCACCACGCACCCTTGTCAGTGGCCAGTGTAGCACCAGCATGGGGTCATTTACCCAGTAAAGATGGCAGACCAGCCCAGAGCTGTGCTTCTAAAAGAACACAGTGCTAGTGTAACAGGCTGTGCCCCTTGGCCCTCTGTTTCTCACACCCAACTCACTGCCCCTGAACTTGACCTCACCTACCACCACCACCACCCTTGGTGGCCAGTCCAGTGTCTGCCCCATCCTCCTCCCCTCCCCCTAGAGGAGGAGGGACCCAGAGCTGCCATCTTGACCTGGCCAGAAGAGGTGACCTTTCCCTCCAACTCTACCATGGGCCAAGCGTTGGCCTTACATGCTATCCTCTTAGATGACTGGAACTCCCACGTGTACAATGCAGTATCTCTGGTGCTCAACTCAGAACAAGTGTGTGCTTATCCAGCTTGGGGCCAGCCAGGGCTGCGAGACTATCAAAGCTGTGCCTCTCAGAAACCCCGAATCCTTGCATTTTATGGCCGCTGTTGTTTCCAACCATCTCTAGGGCTCAATGATTAATTATGCCTAAGACAGTCCAAAGCAATTATTTAATTAAGCTGTCTTACAGGCTGCCAATTATGTGGCGCTCAGGGAAGGCCTTCCCCCTGGCTTCCCAACATCTGGCCCTTGGATGACTTAAGAGATAAAAGGAGATATGAGAGCATTTTATGACTAAGTAACAATTTCTAGAAAATTTCCATTAAGTAGAAACCTTTCTGGGTAATCTGCTTCTCCTGGTTAGAACTGGATCTGTCTGCCTCTGAGGGGCGGTCAGTGGGTTGCAATCGGGTGCACAGTAGGAAAGCGAGGGAGAGGGGTGTGTTGATTCCGTTTGTTTTTTAGCGAGGGAAGGAGAGATCCCATTTTATAGCTTTCTTGCCTGTTCTTTAAACATGTCCATTGCAGCTCCATAAGGTGACTCTCAGTCGGGTGGGGGGCGGAGGGAGTGTTAAAAAGCACCCAGAGATCCTTCAGTTACTGCAAACCACTTCTGCCTCCCCGGCTCTGAAGAGTCATTTGGCTGGTGCAGTTTAGCTGTGGGGCAGTCTCTCATTGCGGCACATCTTGGTGTGATCTCTTCTCATTAAGGGCCTAAGTATCTTAGGGACATGACCTTTCTGTGTCCCCCAAGACTCGGACGTCACAGAAGAGCCACTCAATGGATGGGGTAACCCAGCTGGTCAACAGCAGGTTGACAAGTGCATATTTGGTTGGCTCGTAGGGTCAGAGTATGTTCTAGCAGACCTGATTTATGTCACCCCCATCCGTGTCCTTCACAGGAAATGGACACTGTATTCCAAGTGGGAGGTGGGTGGGAACCCTGGGTAGAGCAAGCCTATGGGTGCCAAGTGTCCTGCAGCAAGCTCTCCTCGTGTGCGTGTGTGATTGATTGATCCATTCATTCATTCATCGGTAATTACCACACTATTCCAAACTCTTTCATTGTGCTCTTGCCCACCTCCTAGATGACCCGACCCAAAACCAAGTCCTCTGTCATCAAACAGATAGATGCCAACTCTTGGGGACCCTCCAGGTGGGGTTTCTGAGACCATGAGCCTTTACAGGGGCAGATAGCCTCCTCTTTCTCCCTTAGAGCAGCTGGTGGGTCTGAACCACCGGCCTCGCGGTTAATGAACCCAAGCTTACACTGGACACACCACCGGGACCCTGAGCTAGAGACGGAGGTCTGATATAGACACAAGGTTTGTACACACTGGAAGACAAGACAGCGCCTGTGACTGTGTGTTTGATTTGGACGCTCTCTCTATGGTTAAGATCATCGGGAACCCGCCCTGGGCTCCCTCCACGCTGGACCGGGCTGCCCACGCCAGCACTCGGCTCAGAGAGCCTTGGGTAGTTCTCCCTGGCAGCAGGAGAGGGCTTTAGAAGCACCGTGGAATGGGTCCACCAACCTGTCATTCCATTGTTGTCCATGAACCTTTTCACATCCTCTCCTCATGTCTCCCCTTGTTAACGCCGTGGCATGCGCCAAGGAGCCACGGACAGTAGCCAGGGTGCCCAGCAACAGAGATGTCTCACAAGGCGCTGCTGCTGTGACCTGCCGTCCAGGCAGCTCTGACTTAGGGCCAACCCATGTATGCCCATAGGAAATGTGGCATCATCTTGTCCCGCCTTCGCTGGTCCCCCAGGGCCAAGGCGACAGCCACGTGGGTTCCGAGTGCCGCCCAACCCAGGGCTCCCTTCCAGCTCTCTGCCGGGCAGCGTTCTCTTGTGTAGGAAGGACACTGTTCGATTCTCAGGAACGGGTCTCCAGGCCTGTTTCCTCTCGAGGGACGCCCTGCTGGCCTTTGAAAGACTGGTGACGGGGGTTTCCCGAAGCCCCGCACAGGGCAGCACGACGACTGGGAGGGGTGGGGCGAAGTAAGGGACCTTCCTGGAATGTCCAGACCTTGGCAAACATGCGTCATCACGAGCCCAAGTCTGGTGTCTGCCCTTAGGAAGCGCAAAGAGCATCGCTGTGGTTTGAGCCCCGACGTGTGACGTCATGGGGCTGAAAGTGCTAACGAGAAGACATGTCCACCTCCCGGAGCAGAGCTTACTGGCGAAGGAGCAAAGGGCAGAGAGGGTCACACAGCTAGCCGGCATGTTGTTGGCATGTTGTTGTCGTTGTCAGGCGCCTTCATGCCGGTGCCCACTCAGCCACCCTGTGCACATCAGCACACAGCACTGCCCGGTCCCACGCCACCCTCAGTCCTTGCTGTGCTTGAGCCCATTGCTGCAGCCACAGGTTGGAGCCAATGGCCACTTCGGTCTCAGCCAGGAACCCAGGGGAGTCCCCACCATGGTCCTCCTCTCCTGGTCCACTCTCAGCCAGAGCAAAACCAGAGGCCCAACCGCAGCCTCCATGTCCGGACGCTCCTGGACTGACGGTGGGCACGCGATGTACACGCCTCCCACAAGGCAGTAAAGGCAGAAACCTTTCACTCGGCCGATTCGGGAGTCCCAGGGCGGTGCACGTGGGTAACTGGAAGGCCGGGGTTCGAGCCTGCCTCGGAGGGAGGAGCTGCCAACCTGCTGCTGCTGCAGAGTGCCTGCTGCTGGGCGGTGCCTTGGTGGGGCACTGGGCAGTCCCCTGAGGCACGCCAGGTCAGCCCGACAGCCTCGAGGTCCACATGCCAGCTCCCCTGCAGGTCTGAGAAAACGGGGCTCATCACAAGGCAACATTTGGAACTGGGATTTCCTTTTAAAAACTCCAACTGCAAGAACAGGGCACAAGGATTTCCTCCAGAGGGTTAGCTCTCGCTTCCTCTGGTGGTGTCGTTACTTTCAAAGCAGATGAAATATCTTCTGTCAATGTTTCTTCCTGGCACTGTAACTTGAGAAAGTTTAAACACCTCTCTGTCTCTCCCCTCTCCCCTCTCGCCTTCTCTCTCTCTCTCTCCCTCCCTCCCTCCTTCCCTCCCTTCTCACGCACACACACAGCACACCATGCAAAACGCTGCCTCTTCTCTACCATAAAGCATTCCAAACAAACCAGCAAACCTCTCAGCCTCACTTTTAAGAAAATATGCAGAGTGAGCCTGCGCAGGCCTGTGGCCACGGCCTGTCCTTTCTGATTAGCACCCACGACCGTAAATAAATTGGGCCTTCTGAGTCCGCTCCCACTCTCGTTAAGAACCGTGCGTTCTTTTCCCTCTTCTTTTTCAACAGGGGACTTGTTATGTTCGAAAATAAAACCTACACCTTAGAACCCATGCAAGCCGACGCCGGCAGATACAAGCTCATCCCCGCGGAGAAGCTGAAGGGCATCGTGGGGTCTTGTGGGTTCCACGGCAACGCCTCGGGCCTCTCTGTGGACAGCTTGTTCCGGCCACCACCCTCCCAAAGGCGGGTAAGAAGGGGCAGGGGACACCCGATGGTGTGTTTATAGGGAGCCAGTGCTCATGGTACGGACACCGTGCCGTGACATGGATGGGTGTCTGGATGGCAGAAGCCCTCCCCTGGTCTGAGGGCAGTTAATACCAAGTTAATTCTGTGTGGACAGAGCTTTTCCAGGTTCATAAACCTCCACCCTTGGTCTTGCAAATGGTGGCCAAAAGTACCCCCTCAGATGTGCTGGGGAAGCCTCACAGACCCCAGCTCACCCCTCATACGTCTTTACGAGGTAGGTCCTGATGGGCAAGACCAGACCGGGCCCTGCCCACTCTCCAGAGCTCTTGTCCTCCTGGAAGAAACAACGCCCAGGTCCCCTTGTTGGCACGGTGGTCTAGCAATTAGGGCCCTGCTTGCAGGTGGCAGGGAACCAGTCTGCACGTGCGTTTTCCGGGAGTTGTCCATGTCCCCATGGAGTGAGGAAAGGCTTTGCTGGCCCCCAGTCCATCCTGTGAAGGCCTGTCCCCCTTATCCCTGGGGACGGTCCAGGCTTTCTGCCTCCTGCTCAGGAAGGTTCTTCCCTGTTCGCGTTCCTCGGTGCCTTGGCTCACTGAGGATCTGTCCGTGATGTCTCCAGTCTGTTCTCTCCTCTGGGTCTGACCTGCCCTTTTGAGAACTCAGAAGTGATACGGCTTAGTGCCCACCCCTGCTCTGGGGTGGCATTGCCTTTAGCAGAGGAAGCTTGGTTTCTGAACAGGATTGCACTGTCAATGGGTAGGGGTTAGGCATCCGACAGATTTTCAGGGAGACAACATCTAGGCTATGGCAGCATGTTCCCAAGATGCCTGTGGCAGCGGCACATGACCTTGGCTTCCTTTTCTGCCCGCTCCCACAGAGGGCGGTGCACACGCCTTTCAGGGGCCTTGCCTCACCTTGGCCTAGTGCTCTCTGGGGGAGTCAGGGCACAGGGGTCAAACACTTGGCTGCCAGCTGACAAGGTCAGGGGTCTGAACCCACCAGCCACTTTGCTGAAGAAGGATGCAGCAGCCAGCATGGCTTCCTCACGATTGCAGCCTGGGAGACCCTCAGGCAGGTTCATCTGCCCTGTTGGGTGTAGGGGGGGTCATCAGTGTCTCAACAGGTAGTGGGGGTGGGAAGGAGAGGGAGTCTGTGTGGAAACCCCAGGGGACTGGGCATACCTGGGAAGGTAGCCCTCACCCTCCAGCTCAGGGGAAGGTTTGCCACCTGCTTTTCTCCGGAGGGTCACGGCTTTCTGAGTTGAAGTGGCATGGACTAGCACTGTGGCCCCACCTCGTGTTTACGTGAAGTTTGGCTCCTCAGACCCTCAGTGGCTGCAGACCTAGAAGATGTCTGCTCACCCGCCATCAGCGAGTCCAACATCTCCATTGGGCGCTGAGCCTCTCCGCCTCCAAGAGCTTGTGGGATACACGTGCTCCGGGTTGAGAGATTCACACTTGACAGTTTAACCGACAGTCAGATGTTTTTGCCATTTCATTACAAAGAGGAGCGTGGTCTGTACTTGCCAGTCATATTTTAATTCTTTAACTACACTGGGTGTTCTGGGAGCTGTGATTGGCAAGGTAATTTTCAGTCAGTTGGACTTGCACGCAGACATGGCAGAGACCTGAGTAACCGTTTTATTTTGTTAATCGTGCAGATTGAAATGTAAATGAACCTGTCCCATGAAAAGGGAACCTGTCTCCTGCACTTCCACTTAGTGCTCCCTATCCCTCTCCAGAAAGCAGTTTTTCCTGGAAGGCAGAGAAAGTGCCCTGGATTCAAAGCACAGGGATGAACAGGCCATCACAAAAACCATCTTTGGACCGAGTGGCGTACTGGGGGCTGGAAATTGTGGGGAAGAGACCGTTTGGGACAGCGTCTGTAGGTCGTTACTGTTGGCACCTCAAGTTGTCCCGACTCATAGCAGCCCCACATACAACGGAAGGACCACTGCCCACTGTGCCCAGCCCCGCAGGGATTCCCGTCTGGCCCATTATCAGAATCGCAGTGTCCACCCAGCTCACCCAGGGCTAGGCCCTTCCCTGGGCATGTCTTCCTCCCAAAAGCCATGAAGTCTGGCCATCCTGGCTTCTTAAAAGCAGCAGCCGGCCTGTACATCTTCCGGGAGAAATCTGCTGATTCTCCTGACAGCCCCCACCCCAAAAAACAAAAAGGACTTCCCTGCCATGCAGTCACTGCTGACTCATAGCGAACCCCCCACCCACCCCCCGCCCGTGGGTTTCTGAAGCTGGAACTGTTGACAGGAGTAGAAAGCCCAGTCTTTCTCCAGAGGAGCTGATGGTGGTTTTGAACTGCCGGCCATTCAGAGCGCAGCCCGATGCGTAACCACTGCACGCCGTGGTATGACTATTCATTAAAACCGTGATTCATAGGAATCTGTTCCTCTTCATCTGTTCTCCAGTTTTCACACGCATAGGAGGCACTGGAACATACCCTGGCCTGAGGCAGTCGTCCCCAGTCCTCCCAGGGGACATTGTTTAACCCTTTAGAGAGAGCTACTGCAGCAGGTTGGCCCAAGGCTGTACATTGTTCATTTGGATTCTCGGCTGCTGCTTCCCTGAGCATTGACTGTGGAGCTGCGTAAACGCAATAACTTCCATCTTGCTCCATTCAGTTGGACGTTGCGCACTGGTCCAGTTGCAAGGATTGTTATTTTCTTAGGGTTGAGATGTCACCCCTCCTGAAGGCTGCAGTCTCTGGTCTCCATCAGTAAGTGCTCCGAGGCCTGTATGGTAAATCTGAAAGGGACGTACGTGTGCAAGTTATATGCCCTTTATCTGCCTCTCTCGGCCTGTGCTTTATACCGGAATCAGGGTAACTCATCCTCTGTGGGCCACAGAGCAGCTCTCTTAGCTTTTTACCGAATGCCCCTGCCCTCAGTCAAGTGGCTCAAGTCTTCCTGCCACCAAGCCGATGTCAACTCAGAGCAAGCCTACCGGACAAGGGGAGGCTTCGGGGACCAAATCCTTACAGGCGTGGAAGCCTCATCCATTTCTCAGGAAGTGGCTGGTGGCTTCCGACTGCCGACCTTGTAGTCAATGGTGGTAGGCATTTTCCACTTCTCTCTAAGATAACCACCCTCATAGCCTTCCATAGCTCCTCTGAGAGGCAGGCCCAGTACTCAGGTCTCCTTGCCTTGTGCAAAGAGCTGGTGCCGTGGAAGGCCCACAGGAAGCCTGCCTTTGGCTTCCTTGGCCCTTGGCTCTGAACCTCCATTCATATAAACAGAGGCCCCCAAATCCCAAAATGTGGCCCCCTACTGTCTCTCAAGTCTGTTAGCTCTCTGGGCGTATATACAGATAAGGGACAGATCTCCCTTGGGCCCCGGCTTTGGGGACACCATCTGAGCACCACCCGTGTGTCCCCAGAGCCATGCGGATCATCACACCTGGCCTGGTCAGCCCAGTCCCCTTTGCTTACCAAGTCTTCCGGCCTGTGCTGAGGCCAGCCTCCGGGAGACTGTGTCCCCACACATGCTGTCTGCGACACCTGCATGCAAGTCCTGGTGCGGGTGGCAGAGGTGACCTTTCTCAGCAGATGGAGCTCAGGGCTTCACTTCATAAATATGCAGGAGCTGACCTTGGGCTCAGGGCCTGCAGCTTCACTTGAGCTAATAATGACTTTCCCTGGCTCAGAGGAAGCTAAGCAAAGCTCCCGGCTCACTTTGCTGGTCTTACAGGAGCAGTGGTCTGGGCTTTGTGTGTTTTGGTGGCAGGAGTGTGTGTGTGTGTGTGTGTGTGTGTGTGTGTGTGTGTGTGTTTTGGGGGTGGGGGGATGAAAATGGCAGTCATTGGTTACACCACCCCAGACTTGAATCTGGTGACGCCCTGCCTCCATTGCTCCTGCCGCAGATGGGCCCCGGCTCTTGCCAGACAGCTGTGAGACCCCCTCACCGCTCTCTCAACTTGCCCTCACCTCACCCTATAACCCGTTCTCCTCTCAGCAGCCTGAGTGATGCTTTTACATAATGAACCCTTCGAGAGCTTCTCCGGCTTCACACGGCCCCTTGTCTTCTGTGCCGTGGCCTGCCCTCCCTGTCTTTGGCCTCGTTTCATTCCCTCTCCCTGCCCAACCACTGGACTCCCCACCCTGCCTGCTGCGAGAACACCCCAGGCTCTTCCCCAAGCCTAGGATCCCAGCTGTTGCTAACCCTTTTCCTGAAACAGTACTCCCCATCCCCCATGCCATGCTGCCCATATGCCCCACTTCCCCTCCTGCTTCTTCCCTCTCCTGGGAACAGTCTCCCTCACGGCATGTCCATGTCTGCACTTTTTGCTGCTCTGAGCCCTTCCCGATAGAACAGACGTGGGGAACCATTTTTCTGCCAAGGGCCATTTGGATATTTATAACATCATTCATTTGTGGGCCACATGAAATTACCAGGTTAAAAATCAGCCTGCTAAATTCAGTCAAACACTTAATTAACTTGCCCCTAAAGCAATGGCTGGGAGCCCTGGTGGTTAGGTGTTGATCTGCTAAATGCAAAGTCAGCAGTTTAAAACCACCGACTACTCTGAGGGAGAAAAACCGAGGCTTTCTACTCCTGTAAAGAGTTAAGAGTCTAAGAAACCCACAGGGGCACTTCTGCCCTGTCCTGGGAGGCTGATGGGAGCAGCATCAACCCCAGGCCAGTGACTGGGATGGGAACGTGATGGCTGGGATTGCTCTCTTTGGTGAGGTGTGTGATGTTAGCTGGTATCGATGATTTTTCAGGACTTTAGATGGCCCGAGGGCCAGATGTTCCCAACCCCTGCACTTGACTGTCAGCTTCCTGAGGGCATTGACCTTCAATAACCTTGAGTTCAGGTCCATTCCTGTATCCCCAACACCTATGGCAGAGCCGAGCATCCAGCGGCTCCCAGGAGATATTTGTGGGATGTATGCAGGTGGTCTAGTCCAGCTGCTAACCCAAAGGTCGGCAGTTCAAACATCCCCCACCCACCCACACACACACACACCCGTGGCTCCATAGGAGGTAAGACCTCATGACCTGCTCCTAAAATAACGCCAGGAGACCCTATAGAGCGTACTACTCCATCCCACAGGCCCCCCTGAGCCGGGCTCGCTGTGACAGCACACAGTAGCAATGCCTGTCTACGAGGAAAGGTACAAAGAGGATGCATTAGAACGTCAGTCTCCACCTGGTCTTCGGACTTACTGCTGTTGCTAGCGGCCCTGAAGTTGGCTATGACCCACAGCGCCCCCGGGCGCAGCAGAGTGACACCTTGTTCAGGCCTGCACCATCCCAGGCGCCTTGCTCCATTTGCTCTCCCTGCTGCAGCCACTGTGTAAGCCCGTCTCTTGGAGGCTCTCCTTCTCCCTGGCTGACCTTCTCGAGTACCAAGCACCGTGTCCTCCGGCAGAGACAGGTCCCTCCTCAAAGTGTGTCCAAGTTCAAGGTCAGCTACTCTGCACTTGAGTCGGGTGGACTTGGGTTGTGTTGGATAAGTTGCTGGCAGACTTCTGGCTGCAGGTTGTCTGGGGAATCGTCCATCTCTGGGAACACAGTTGTAAAGACTGGGAGAAGCCCCGGAGCAGGTTCCCGCCGGATCCAGGCTTCCAAGAAGGCGCCCCCCTCCGCCTTGGAGCAAGCATGGTTCAGGCCATCCTCAGGGGCTTTGGGGTCAAAACAAAGAGCTTTGTTCCTAACCCACAACATAAAAATCCCCACAAGCAACCCATTTCAAAAGCTGTTCTCCGTATCCAAACGTACGACAGGAGACCCTGGGCAAGCACAGAGCGAAGCCCTCGGCTCCTGCCTGGGAGTTGGTTAGTTCAGGCTCCCCGAGAACCCTCAGAAGACGGGCCTGGGTGACCCGTTTCTTGGAGAGCCCTGGCCCAGAAACCCCACGGAGCAGCCCGACACTGCCCACAGGGCTGGCCGAGCTGGATGCCCCAGCGACAATGCATCAGCATTATATTCCGCAGAACCAGTCATCCGAAACCGAGCCCGGGGGGAGAACGTGGTGGAAATCAGAGCCTCTGTGTGGGTGCTGCCGCAGACAGGATGGACCTCTGAGGCCGGGGACGGCCGTGCCCCCTCCTCCCGCCTTCCATGACTCAGTGGTTAAGCTTTGCCCGGAGTTTGCAATTGCCTGAATTCATGAGAATGCCTGCACTGCTCGGATAGCTGCAGGGACTGTCGGCCGGCCGGTCAGTCGGTCAGTCATGGTGCTCAGGGTTGGTTTGCATGATCTGGAAGCATAAGTGTTCTCACGGTGACCCGATGCCAGCTGGGACAGCCTGGCCGCTCCTTGCCCCCCTGCAGCAGCTGGGACGGGGGTCAATTTGTTTCAGTTTTTCCTGAGGAACCTCCTTGAGTGCTGTGGGTTTGTCTTTGGGGCTGCGCTTTCTCCAGCATCATGAGGCAAATCGGTTCCCAGCCAGAGGTCAGGGAGTCGTGGGGCCAGGAAAGAATTCCACGTGGTTCACACACCAGTGGGGACTGCTGGGTTCACGGGCATAGCCTTTATCAGCACATCCCGCGCTCCTTCACACACACCAGCCACACGTAGACTCGAGGCCTGGCCTCCCTTGTTCCCTAGCACGAGCACTGCCAGCACTGGCTTTGCCCTTCCCCCTACTTGAGGTCTGCAGGTTTCTTTAGGGACACCGAAATCCATGACTCAGCACGGCTGGGCGGCCAGGCGGGACCGAGCACCGATCCAAACCCTCTTCTTGGGAAAGTCTGTTTGGACAATCCCAGACGGCTAGGGATTGGTTTCAGAGAAGATGTTTCCCTGAGGATAGTGTGACTGGCAGCCTTCTTCCACGCAGGCATAAACCATGATGGCCTGTGTCTACGTGCGGCCAGCGTGCGCCGTGGACTTGAAATGGGGCGGGCAGCCCCCTGAGAAACCAACCCTGCCTAGGTCCCCTGGACCCCCCTCCCTCCCACCACATTTTACTGCAGGAACAGAAGGCTTTGTTTACTGTGTCTGATTTGTTTTTGTTTTGTTTGGGGACCACCCTCCATGAATGGCTGTTTTTCTCCCCTCCTCAAAATGCCTTCAGGAGTCTCCCACTAGGATTCACATGGTTCTGGATGTAAGCACAACCCACCTCGCCAGCTGCCTCCTTGGGAATGGCAACCCAGCCTCTTCTGCCTGAGTCGGCCCCATGCCCACACCTTGGCATCAGGTGTCCGTGTTCTCCTCACCGGCTCCATTCGGGCTAGATCTCTCTCTGGTGGTGTCATGCAGTCCCCCTCCTCCTCCGGCTGCTCCCCCCCTTTTTATTCTTCTCATTTTTTCTTGGAATTCTTTCTTTATGTTCCTTCTAGTCTAGTCCCCCTTCTTGTAACTTTCCACTGTGACATGGCTCTCACCAAAGCCATCCTGCGTGACTTTCAACAGCTTGCAGGTTCCCCTTTACCAAACGTTTCTCCCAGACCACCTCAGCCTGCCACTCTTCTGCCGGGATCTTTCCAGCCACCAGCCACAAGCAGTAGCTCCTGCAGGGCCCCTCTGGCCAGATCTCCTCACAAAAGTCAGGCTGTTTCTGCTCCAGGCACATACCCAGTACGCTGTTGCTCTCGGGACCGAGCAGGTCCCTTTATGTGGGCCACGAAGGAGGAGGCAGGGCACACCCGGATGCTCAATCAGTAGGAACATCTGGAAGAATGAGCATCTTTCTCCTTCAGGGATTAGGGACCTTCAGGTGTGCTACCTGTGGCCTGAGGTGAACTGCCACTGGCAAGCTCCTGTTCTGGAAAGAGCTTTGTCTCTTTGCTTGTTCTCTTTCCTAATGATCGTGACTTGTTCTGATTCTACTGGTTTCGACTCTCCGTGATAACAGCAGAAAGATTGCATTTCTGTCTCGGAATTTCCCAGAAGGAAGTGGGAACTCATCACTCATGCTAAGAGAGCTTTACACGAAGCTGAGGAGCGGGGCGGGGGAGGGAGGTCTTTAGGGTAGATTGTCAAGAGGAGGAAAACCAGTGAAGCAGATCGATTAGATAGCTAGATGGAGAGGTGGATGGATGATAAACATTGATAGGATTGCAAAACCTGCCAAGCCCCAAGTCTGGGGGTCAGATGTCAGACTAGAGGCTTCTCCAAGCTCAAGTAGCTGTCGGGGCTGACGAACCCAAGATCAACAGGTCAGGTGACAGGCTACTGGCACAAGTCCCAGGAAACGGAGGTCAGTTGATGACCAACTGGATTCATGATTCAGAGGAAAAACAAAAAAGCCAGCCAGCTTTGCCAGAACACCCATCTCTGTGGGGTGCAGGCCACACCCCTGAGGGAACGCCATCTCAAGTGATTGGCTGCTCAGAGCAGATCTGGTCATAGAGGTGATCACATCAGATGGCTGCATGGGTGATGAGAACGTCGATGCAGAGCCACATTACATCGTAACTGCCAAGCCCCTGAGGAGCCTGGCTTGGCCAGCTTGACACACAGCCTGAACCATCGCAGAGGTGGACTTTGAGATGAAAGGGAGGTGTGGGAGTCTGGTAGGGGTGTAGGGAGATAGATCTTCTCCTTGGGGATGCCATTGGATTGGGAGACATTGCCCAGTGCCTGGAAACTGACCTCCCTTGTCCTTTGGCAGCATAAGAGACAGACCCTGAAGATGACCAAGTACGTGGAGCTGGTCATCGTAGCGGACAACCGAGAGGTAAGAGCACGACAGAATAGCCCACAGCAGTAGATTCCCCAAAAATAAAATAAAAGCATTGGACAAGTTGTGACTAATTTTGACCAACCCCATTTGCTCCCAAGCCTTCAAAGTGTGGGAAACAACTCCTTGATAAAATGGTCTTCTAGTCGCGAGTTGAATGGGGGAGATTTTGAGATGTCGCGCCCGATGCTATAAACTAAGAACAAGAAGTGCAGAAACAGCCAAGGCGGCCCTGTAGCTTTGTTTGTCCTGTTTTCATAGGCAGCCTTGACTTACTGTGTGCTGTCAAGCAACCCCGTAGAAGAGAGAGGGACTGCCCCTGGGGGTTAGTTCCTGAGACTGTCACTGGGCTTTTGTCCCATGATGCAACGGCTTCTGGTGGCTTCACAGCCCAGCCCTCAGTCCTTGCTCCACCAGGGCTCTGATCCCATTGTCTGCTTAGACCTGAGCTTAGGTGGCCCTGAGCTCGTGAGCGGGAAGCCGGCTGGAGGAGGACAGGTGGCTCAGGTGGTTTCTGCTCCCTCCAGCCGGGTTGGTTGACTAGTGGCCATGAGCTTCCATGACGTTTATGACTTCTTGTTTTAAAATACGAAATGAAAGAGAATTTTCCCAGGAAGCTAGATTCGAGCTGATGATATGAAATATGGCTTTGGGCTGCTGCTAGCCGTCGGTCTTTGCCAAAACACGCCATGCTGCTGTCACTTTGCGCCCCCTACCGACTTCTCAGCAGAGCCTTGGCCAGGGTGGCTTCTAGGGGGTCCGCAGCAGGAAAGACTCCTCAGTAGGCTGCAAACTCACTTTACCCAGAGTGCCCAAGGGAAGGGTCCCTGATATCCCCGAAGCCCAGACTGGTTTTCCAGCTCCCAGGAAGATGAGAGCTGAAGGATCTCCTTGCTGGCAATAATGCTGACCTTTTACGTCCTTAAGTTTCAGAGGCAGGGAAAGGACCTGGAAAAGGTTAAGCAGCGATTAATCGAGATCGCGAATCACGTTGACAAGGTAAGCTCTTTTCCGGGAAATTAAATCACTCAGAGCCCATAAATGTTCAGAAATGAGGGAATTAGGAGCATGTCATCTGACCGAGCAGGAAGGCAGGTGCAAACTAGGCCCTGGGCTGGCATTCAGTGGCCCGTCCCCTGAGCCCAGGGGGAATCCACCAGGAGCCACCAGACCAACGTTCTCTGGACTGTGGTCTGGGGAAGACAGTCCCCTCTGGGCTCTCTCCTAGATACCCAGAACTCCACCAGCTGTGTCCAACCCTGCTGAGCATTCCCACACTGCACCCCTTACCAGAATCCCACAGCCAACCGGGCATCGAGACACTGCATCTTGCGCTCACGTGGGCGGTGCTGCTCTCGCTTGAGGTGCACCGCCCTGGAGCGAGATCTGGCCTTAGGCTTCTTCTGCTGTTGGAAAGCCCCTCACAGGGATGAAGCGCAGGTCAGGGGTTCACCCTCCTGAAGAGGATTCCAGAGATGGAAGGAGCCCCGGTGAGCATTTGCTCCACAGACTCCTCACACCACCGGTCCACACGCCTGTCCTTCAGCCATGCACGGTGCAGGACACCTCACACTGTCCCCTGTCCCTCGACAGTTCACACTGTGGCCCTTTCGGTCCACCACTCATGTTTATCAGAGAGCTCCATCCTGTCCCCTGTTCTTTGAGACCATCTGGTGTGGGAGAGAATCTTCTCGGGAGAGTGCTGGGGGTGCCTGGCCATCTTCAGGGGGTCTCTTCAGAAGCCACCAGCTGAGTCTCCTGTCCTGAAGCTGCCCAGGGTGCCAGCAAGACCCTGTCTCCTGCTTCAGGGTGGTGTGAGCAGAGGGCGTGCAAATCCCCAGCATCTTACACAAAGATGTTAAAGCTATGTGTGCAAAGGGCTCTGTTGTCTTCCAAGTGAGTTTCCAGAGTGCCAGGAATATGGAGGAGTAGGCCCTTCCGGAGACCTGGCTCTGATCAGCAAACCCGCGTGAACCGGCTGAGCCTGAACACCGGCATGAAGCAGCCACGGTCCCTCCGCTGGAGGGGCACCTAGGGCAGAGGACTGATTCACAGAGCACTTAGTGGTGTGTCCCCCGCCCCCTCCAGCAGTATGATGTCAGGCTCCACTAGGAGTGGCCCTGCAGAAGGTCTGCCTTGGTCCCCACAAACCTGCATTCCAAGACTTGCTGCAGGTGACCGAGGAGCCCAGACGGGACCAGGGCAGTGGAGATGAAACACGTGACTGGGGCCCTGAGTGCCCCTCAAAGCCATCTTGATTTGAAGCTGCCATCACCAGAGAGGCCGGCGTCTGCAGGCAGAGGGGGGAGACAGTGGGTGGCACAAAGAGGCCTGCCCTGAGTGTGGAGGCTGGAGAAACTCAAGACCAACAGGGCAGGTAGGAACCAGGTCGCGTAAGAAAAGACATGAACCTAGATAGGGCCCAGGGGCAGGAGGAGAACGGGGCTTGGAGGTGATTGAAGGGAAACTGCTGTGAGTGACTGCACTGATTGGTAACTAGGTCAGGCTCTCAGTGTTGGGCAGATACCTCAGACGACACTGCCGTCTCCATCTGACAGCAGAGGAAGCCGTGCTTTGCAGCGGGCCAGCAGGTAGGCGACACCTGCTCACGTCGTATGGACAGCAGGAGAGGAGTCCATGCTCACCTCCCTGGCCCCCAGCAGGGCCTCTTGGCCTTGCTTAGCTCCACCTTGTGTGAGTCTGGTACAGGAAAAGGCAGGACTTTGGCCAGCAAGGAGCAGGGTCTGAGGATAGTAGGAGCCCAGGACACTGGGCTGTCTTCTCTAGTACCAAACAGATGACACTTCTGGGCCCATGGGTGCAGGGAGCCAAGGACAGGGAGGAGGAATGGGGTGGGACAATTTGAGCTGCTTTGGAGCTCAGAGAGACGTGCCCAGGTGGAACGTCTCAAAAGTCAGGGAAACCAAGAAGAACCAGCATCCTGAGGGGGACGTGACATTGAGACCCACGCTTGCTGATGGACCTTCAGCAGCTACTTTTGCAAGTTTGTCTTCATCCCAAAGCCCAGTGGATGCCGGAGGACCCCTTGAAAAGGCATGTCCTTCTGGCCCTGAGAGCAAAGAAACAGCAGGTCCTGGGGGTTTATGTCGAGAGACAACACCGAAGTTAGCATTGGGTCTCAGTCCTGGCTGGACATGAGGCTGCCCAGAAAGAGCATTGTTTATGTACAAGTGTACGAGGTGTTGGTTCTTAAACCCTGGCTCCCTGGGTGGAGCGGTCAGGAAATGGTCTGTGCCACCCATGGTGCTGACCTGCTGCAGGAGCGCTGACAGATGCCTGCGCTGTGAGCAGGAGCCCCCATGACCTGGAAGGGCAGTGGTGGAACAACGGGAAGGTGTGCATTCTTCTTGGGCTTCGGAAGCAAGAGGAAACCATGAGCAGTCCTGAGCCCAGATGGGAAATGGCTCAAATCCCCTTTTAAAAAGTGATGCTGTGAGCCCTTCTCTGTTTGCTCTTGTCTGCGTTTTGTCTACATGATACCTTGCTTCCATTTGCAAAACTGGAAAGGAGGAACTGGGGGCTCGTCAATAACGTGCACTGACAATTATAGGCCAGGATGCCCACAGAAAGTCTTTCTGGTGGGCATGAGCTGATCCGTGGTGCCCACAAGCTGATGATGCTGTCTACTCCCCGGAGGGCCCTGATATGGACACCCGGGTGCCTTAGACTGCCTGGAACCCTCGAAGTCCAGTCACCAGTGACCGCTGGTCTCTGTGGAAGGATCCGCATGTCAGTCTGGCAACTTCACAACGGGGACTGTCCTGGCGCAAGAAAGGACGGTTGTTCCAGGGGCAGCTTCCCCATTGGCTGGAAGGCTGGCTCTCCGTGGCCACTCTAAATTCATAACCGCTTGGCCCACCCAGACTGGAAGGCAGAGAAGTGATTCCGCCGCGGTCAAGGTGACATTCCGGAGCATTGGGAGGGCCCCTCTGTCAGTGGAGCAGGGAAGGAGGCTGGTGCTCTGACCTCCCTGCCAGCCGTGGGCAGCTGGCTCTGAGAGGAGTCACCCGGTCCTGACTCGGCAGTGGTGGCAGCAGCGGGGAGCGCACCTGCGTAATGAAGAACTGGCTGACGCTGTGCTTCCGGAGCCTTCTGCCTCAGCCCGTCCAACAAAAGCTGCATGGAGAACTGAGCAGGTGTGGATTCTGCAAGGCCGGGCCCCCGGTGACCCCCTGAAGGACCTCCTCTTCTGTGTGACTCCTGTTTCCAGGAACATTCACGCTGGTGGGAGACATGCCTGCCCTCTGCGCCCCATCAAATTGCCTGAAGAAAGCCAGTGCCCTCGGGGGCTGCCCCCCAGGAGACATGTCCTTCAATCCCAATCTTTGGGCCCAGGCACCTTTCCTCCAGAAAAGCCCACCTGAGCTGCTGTTGCCCCAATTTCTCAGCAGGTCAGTGTGCCGTCGTCAACAGGACCCCTGGCTGAGTGCCCTGTGCGCTGGGCCCCTGGTGGTCTGCGAGCATCTTGGGGCCAGCCGTGGTGGGCATGCAAGTCCTCTTGGCGCTGCCAGGGTCACACGTCGTGCACAACAAGAGAGGAGGCCGTATTGGTTTGTTCGTATGCTGCTGTGTTTGGAGGAGAGTCCATTCAGCTGTGTATCTGACTGACATGTCCACGTACGTTCTGGGGCTTGTGGGCCTGAGGAGGCCATTGCCCGGCTCCGTGTGCTCTGTGCGGGCCTGGCAGCTACTCTCTGGCTAGAGTCACAGTGTGCCATCTCAGAAGACATTCTCAGAGGCGAGTCACTGCGTGCTGTGACGCATGGGGCCCAGCCCTGCCCGTCATGGCCATGGCTGAGTCTCCTAGTCCAGTGTCCTTGGCCACGGTTCTTAAGCCACAGGGCCACCATGAGGATCGGGAGAGCTTTAGCACTCACTCCCGAATGAGTGCCTTGGACATTGTCAACTCTCATTCTGCCTTCGTGCTGATCGCTTCCCAAGAAGAACCTTCAGGAATCCACTGCCGCCACTCCCGCCCACCCTGCCCCACCCCCGGGCAGGAGAGTGACCATCAGTGCATGAGGGGCTGATGGGAGTGGGACCCGTGTGCAGTTCACCGGTGACGCCACGTCTGGGGAGGAGAGACTGTCTCAGAGCATCCAGGATGAGCTCTGCTGATCGGACGAGAGGTGGTGCTGAGAGTGGCGGACCTTCCTTGTTATGAAAAGCCCCCGCTGGGAAAGGATGACAAGACCTCCGACCCCATGGAGAAGCCCCTTCCCCACTTGACAGGTGACAGGCAGCTGATTCTGAGGACTTCCCTGAGCAAACCAGGGTGGGTGTCTGCAGCGTATATCCCGCATGCCAGCCTTCTGATCGCTGTCGCTGTGCCCCTCCTAGAGCCGCAGCTCCGCCTCCCAGCCGGGGGACAGCAGCCAAGCACGGCCTTTTAGGGCCCCCCAAGGCTTCCAGGAACCAAATCTCACCGGCAAAGCCTGGCCCGGGAGCTTGCAAGAGAATAGCACAGGCCAAGCCGGTCCTGATTAAAAGCAAGCCATTGGGCAGCCGTTTAGTCATGTAAGTGACTCATTAGCTTATTAATGTAATGCCCATAATTGTTATCTGCTTGGCGCTTCGGCGGACGGCCGCAGTCAGCTCACATTCTGCAGTGGAGACAGGGCTCTCTCGGGGTCCCCCGAGGACCTGATGCTCTCCAGATGACTGTGGGAGACGAGCGAGGGGGAAGCCGGAGCCAGCTCACGGGGCCTGGAATCGGGGTCAGCTGCGCCACGGGGGAGGGGGAGTGTCCTGGATGCTAGCTCACTGCCCTGGAATGGAGCTCAGCATGTTGTGCGCATCCCCCCATACCCCAGCTGCTTCTAACGGCGGAGAAGGGGGCCCTGCGCGTGCGGGCAGGCAGCCTGACCCAAGCTGGTGGTGAAAACGACCCTTTTGCCTTGGCCGCTGGGATTGCCAGTGAATGAGACACTCTCCTCCTGTGTCGCCCCAGCTACACAGGCTCTGGAAGACTCCACAATCATCGGGAGCCTCGCCTGCCCTGAAAGTGCACTGGGCTCCCCCAGTCTGGGTGACACAGCAGGGTCCAGCCCATGGCCCCAAGCCCAACCCCTCATCCCACCAGAGTGAAACCCCCAGAGAGCGACACACGGAGGCACAGACCTTGACACCATTCCTACAGAAGACCCAAGAGGCCATTGTCTTCAGGGCATCCGCAAATTCATGTAGAACGCCCATTATCTTTCTGTCCCCTTTTCCCCAGGGACTTATGACCCCACCCCTCCTCCCCACCCCACCTCTCCAAAGACCAGACAGAGGAGCCCTGATGGTACCGTGCAGACTTGTGGAGCTGATGACCGAGAGGTCTCTGTGGAAAACACCCCCATCCCCTGCTGCTACGCAGGAGACCGATGAGGCTGGGTCCGTGAAGAACTGCAGCTCAGCACCCAGGGGGTGATCCTCCTGTGTCGCACGAGGACTCACGGCACCATGCGTTGGGCCAGATCCAGGAGGCCATCTAGCATCCTCAGGATTCCTGGTCCACGCAGAGTACGCCCAGCCCTGGCTAAGGGCGGGGCGGGAGAGCTGAGACCTACCGTGAGTGGTTTCAGAAGACGCGTCCCGCCAGCCTCACCAGCTTCTACTTAAGCGCTCACGCGCTTGGCCACTGGATAAAGAACGGCCATGGGGTTCCAGAGGGACCGGCCGGTGCACGGGTTATCTTGAAGGCGCTGGATGTGTTCCCTGAATCAAAACCTCCGCGGTTGATTTCAGGCGGCGGATTCTGATCGTGACCCCCAAGTCTCGAGCCTTTGCTGGGAAATGAACCCAGGTTCCTTTGCTGGACGTCGGCGATGGGACATTTTGCTTGTGACGAACAAGGATTGTGCTTCTCCTCAACGTGGTTTTCCTTGCCGTAGACACTAACTGGTGGCCTTTAGCTATAGCGTGCATCTATATGCACATTTTAAGTGAATCCTTTGAAGCGAGGGTTCTGTGCAAAGCCGAGCAGACCATAGAAATGCTAATCATTGTCACAGCAAAGTGATCAATGGCGTCAGAGATTCCACCTAACGCAGCTCATGCATCCCCCCCCCACACACACACCCCGCATGATTGTGTACATTCGAATGGCCCCGTGGGGAGGAGGGAAAGGAAGAGGAAGGCAGCGTGCCCCACCCCCCTAGATGATGTTCCAACCGTGCAGCTGGGCACTGCGCTGGGCAGCGTGCTCCCCACAGGTGACCCGTGTGCTCAGTTTTACAGAGCCCTGAACATCCGCATTGTGCTGGTGGCGGTGGAGGTGTGGACCGACATTGACAAGTGCGCCATAAGCCAGGACCCCTTCACCAGCCTGCACGAGTTCCTGGACTGGAGAAAGA